TCTGCAGTCCCCCCTCGGTGGTCTTCTCCCTCCCCCCTCTCCCTCTTAGTGGTCCTCCCTCCCTGTCTCAGTGGTCCTCCCTCCCCCCCCCCTTTGGCGGTCCTTCCCCTCTCCCCCCCTCTTAGTGGTCCTCCCTCTGGCAAACCCCTAGTGGACCTTCCCCCCTCCTCCCTCAGTGGTCCTTACTCCCCCTCCTCCCCAGTCCCCTCCTCCCAGTGATCCTAGTGTCCCTCCCCTCCTCCTCCAGTGGTCCTTAGTCTCCCTCCTCCAGTGTCCTAGTCCTTGGTCCTTAGTCCCCTCCTCCTCCCCAGTGGTCCTTGTGTCCCCCCCCTCCTCCCCCAGTGGTCCTTATTGTCCCCCCTCCTCCCCAGTGGACCTTAGTCCCCCCCTCCTCCTCTCCCAGTGGTCCTTAGTCCCCTCCTCCTCCTCCCCAGTGGTCCTTAGTCCCCCCTCCCCCTCTCTCCCCAGTGGTCCTCCTCCCAGAGTGGTGTCCCCCCTTCTCCCCAGTGGTCCTTAGTCCCCTTCCCCCCCCCCCCCCCCTCTGTGGTCCTTAGTCCCCCCTCCCTCCTCCCCTAGTGGTCCTTACCCTCCTCTTCCTCTTCCCTCCTGCCAATGTAGCGTGGCCGGGCGGCGCGGAACGCGGGACAGGAAGCTCTGTTTTCTGTACCCGGCCGCCGGCGGACTGACAGGAAGTGCTCACTTCCTGTCAGTCCGCCAGCTGTCGGGTACAGGAAACAGAGGTTCCTGTTCCGCGTTCCGCGCCGCCCGGCCACGCTACATTGAGAGACCGGCAGGAGGGAGCACTCTGCGCTTCCCTCCTGCCAGTCGCTCAAATCCGGCCGCCCTCCACACAGCAGTGCTGCGCCGCCTGAGGCTTGTTAAAGAGCTCAGGCGGCGCAGCATGTTGGAGCCGCAGCGGTGATTCCTGGTGCAGGGATCCGGCGCCCCCTGCTAAGTTGCGCCCTAGGCGTGCGCATTCAGCCCAGGAGGAGGAACGGAGGAGGATCGGAGGAGGAGAGCTCCCCGCCCAGCGCTGAAAAAAGGTAAGTTTAACCCCTTTTCCCCTTTCCAGAGCTGGGCGGGATGGGGTCCCTGAGGGTGAGGGCACCCTCAGGGCACTATAGTGCCAGGAAAACGAGTATGTTTTCCTGGCACTATAGTGGTCCTTTAATGACAACAGCATTTTTTTCATTTTTTGCTGTTTGCGTTCAACTGCAATTTGCAGTTTACCAATTTATTGCACCGACACATATTATATATCGTTTTTAAAGGACAGAAAGGGCTTTAATTTGATGTAACACACATATATATAAATGCTTATTTATTATAAAAAAATACAGAAAAATGCAAAAGAAATGAAAATGTTTGTGTTTTTTTTTTACAGTTTTTGCAATAATAATGTGTGCATAATTAGTGCAGGTTAAGGAAGGTAATTAAAAATAAATTCATTTAGTTGTTCTGATTTACAGAATATATAATATGTCTGGGATTTTAATTTTTTTTTTGGTAGTTACAGGTCACAAAGCACAAGGAGTAAAATAAACTTTTAATGTGGAGCGATTTTAGAATTTGGTATGTTTGTCTTGTAAGCTTAATAGCCATAAAAGAAAACAAAATTGCCACACAAAAGTATATATTTATATAAAGTAGACATCACAAACTATTTACCTAGGGTTGTTTTGACACTTTCTACATAGCAATTTCACCACCAACCTCTGCTAAATATTGGAGTAAAATTGTGTTTTTTTTGGTTTTTGGCACACAAACTTATAACAAAGAAATTCTCATGTGTATTTTGGAAAGTTGGTGTGTTCTATTCCTATACAAAGTTTTATTTTGTGTTCAGTTACATCTGCTGAATAAAATGACACCCCCATTGTATGTCTTTGGCACTATGTTGTGGAGTTACAGTGCCATATAGGAGGCCTGTTCTTTTCAGTATTCACAGTAGAATTTTGAGAGACGGATTTAATGAGCCCATGCTTCCATTTGGGGTATTATAACAGTTTGACTGTTCAAAAAAGCCCACAAAGGCCTACCATTTGTAAAAGTAGACACTCCAGGGTATCTCATAAGGTGCATATTGTGCCTTAACATGCCCCCATTTTTTCACCAATATATGCCAAAGTATGTGGTCAAAAATAATTTTGTGCGTTTTTTACACATGGATTGCATTTTTGCTGGGCATTTTACATATTTCACATGTGCCACTAAGTTCAAACCCCCCAAATTATGCTCAGCTACGTCTTCTGAGTAAAATGACACCCCCATTGTATGTCTTTGGCACTATTTCGAGAAGCTACAGTGCCATATAGGAGACCTGTCCTTTTCAGTATTCACAGTAGAATTTTGAGAGATGGATTTAATGAACCTATGCTTCCATTTGGGGTATTATACCAGTTTAACTGTTTAAAAAAAACCCACAAAGGCCTACCATTTGTAAAAGTAGACACTCCAGGGTATCTCATAGGGTGCATATTGTGCCTTAACATGCCCCCATTTTTTTCACTAATATATGCTAAAGTATGTGATAAAAAATAATTTTGTGCGTTTTTTACATATGGATTGCATTGCAAGTTCAAACTCCCCAAATTATGCTCGGCTAAGTCTTCTGAGTAAAAAGACAATGAATGTCTTTGGCACTATTTCGTGAAGCTACAGTGCCATATAGGAGACCAAGCCACATCAGTTTTTACCGAACTTTGACGCTGGGCCTATGTGCAATTTCCAAGCATCTTAGCAGGGTTTAAATTCAAACTACCCCA